AAAATCATATTAGCCCTCAAATACCCAAAACATTGAATCTAGGATTTTGGATAACATGATAAAATATTTTTCAAAAATATCTTTCAAAGTTTTCAGTAGCAAAAAAGATCTTTCATGAAATATTACCAAATACCATTTAACTATTAAAAGTAATAATAGTTTGTCTGATATCAAAAATTCAAATGACACGTGTTATATCCTTCCAAACTTTAATTTATTTGCTTGACTTTCAATATTAATAAAAATTCTTCCAAAAAAAAAAAATAAAGATTAGAATAATGATATGGAGGCCGATTTACGTGAAACGAAATTATGGGACCACTTACGTGGCTGCCACGTATATAGACGTCTAATCCCACTTCAAACAGTATATGGACCCTGTCACCTTACTTATTTTTACTGGTTGCTGAAGGTCTAAATGGCATCATTTCGCGGCAATCAATCATGGACTTTTTGAAGGAATCGAGATTGGCAACAGGGGTATGATGGTATCTCATTTACAGTATGCCGATGATTCAATTCTGTTCAGTAAGGCCACGGAGAGTAACATATGGGCAGCAAAGAGCATTATGAGAATCTTTGAGCTGGCATTAGGACTAAAGATCAATTTCCAAAAAAGTCAACTCTTGGGAATGAATGTATCGAAGGAATGGTTATCTAAAATGTCATATATCCTAAACTGTAAGATTGGAATATTCCCTTGCAAGTATCTGGGGGTACCAATAGGAGGTAATGCCAAAAGTATCTCTATGTGGAAGCCCTTGGTTAAGAGTTTTGAGAAGAAGTTGAGCTCATGGAAAGGTCGGTTTCTCTCCCTCGGTGGAAGGATTATCCTCCTCAATGCTGTGCTGTCCACTCTTCCAGTTTACACCATGTCAGTACATTTGCTACCAAAAGGTTTGATTCTTTCACTCGATAAAATCCGTAGGAATTTTCTTTGGGGAGGCGGTGAGGGGAAGAGAAAGGTTAATTGGGTTTCATGGGACAATGTTTGTAAAAACAAGGCATTAGGCGGGCTAGGAGTGAAAGACCTTAGAAAATTCAATCTTGCCTTATTGGGGAAATGGTGGAGTAGACTTGCAAGTGGGGAAGAAGGGTTATTGTACAACATCATCAATCATAAGTATGGGAGTCTAGAGAGTAGGTGGTGTGAATGGGTACGGGAGTATAGCCAAAAGAGTTCTTTATGGTGGAGAAATGTCTGTAGAATCAATCAATTAGACACAAACAATGAAGGATGGCTAGTTGAGGGCTTTAAATTAAAATTAGGAGAGGGGAATTCTGTCATGTTTTGGAGGGATACATGGATAGGGGTTCAATCCCTTGCTGTCCGGTTTCCTAGACTTTTCCTGGTTTCAATAGATAAAGAGAAGAGGGTTTCACAAATGGGTAATTGGATCGATGAGCAGTGGCAATGGACATTAAATTGGAGACGTCCGTTGTACGAGTAGGAGGAGGACATCTATGCTGAATTGCAGACCTTACTCAATCAAGTTCAACCAACCAAAGATAGCAAGGATAGTTGGATGTGGATGCACACTAAAGAAGGAAAATACTCAGTCAAATCAGCTTATACCCTTCTTTCCAACAACAACCGAGATAGTAGAACTCAAATGCACAAAAGAACATGGAGCAAACTTATCCCTACTAAAATCAGTGCATTTGGTTGGCAAGTCTTGCAGGATAAAATTCCTACAAAGCTTAATCTTTATAAGAGGGGAATCATAACTGATCCTAGCCTGATTATGTGCGGTATGTGTGGAGGTAGTATTGAAGATACCAAACATATTTTCATTCACTGTAAAGTTGCTTTTATGGTCAGGAGTAAGTGTGCACAATGGTGGAGGTTCCTCTCAGTCCAACCCGAGACTTGCCAAGATGATTTTGAACAACATAGACCCCTTGTCAAAGACTGTTCCGTGAGAGCTGGGTGGGATGTAATATGGTTCTCCATCGTATGGTCATTGTGGCTAGCAAGAAATGCAAAGATTTTCAAGAACCAGGAGCAAGAGACTGACAGAATTTTTGAACTCGTTCGATTAAGAGCCTTCAATTGGATCAAGGGCAGGACAACGTGCTATTCCTTCTCCTTTCATGATTGGATGCTGGAACCTGTCCTATGTCTTAAAGATAAAAGAGGTACACATTAAGTTTTACCTCCATGAAATGCAGATTGTTGTTATAGTCACTTAGTGGTTGTTTAACTATGGCTGCCTTTTCGCTGGTATATGTCCCTAGTCTTTTGTTAGCTGGGATTTATCCTGGTATTTTGTTTTCTTGCAAGGTCTGATGATTTTGCCATTGAGCAGTCAGTTGACTTTGGCTAATTCTTTTGTTGGTACATAGTGGTCAATTCTATGCTAGCTGAAGTCAGTGGATGCTCAGTGATAATCTAGTTTATAACACGGGCAGGAGTACCCCTTGTACTCCATTAATTAAATTTCTTTTGCCGTGCAAAAAAAAAAAAAAAAA